ATCCCAGCACTTGGGAGGCAAACAGGCAGATCTTTGTGAGTTTGAGGCTATCCTGATCTAATGAGCGAGTTCCAAGACAGCAGGGCTATATAGAGAAAGCCTGTCTCGAAAAAAAACAAAACAAAACCAACAAAACCAATGTAATGAGTGTTTGACAAGAACTGCAAGAAGTTAAAGAGAATGAATATTACTGAGATGTAGAAAGTCTACCACTGTGTTTTAATTCCAAGTTAAACCTAAAATTAAACTAAATTTAAAACATTAGTTTTAAAGAAGCTGTGCTCAGTTATAGACAAAGTAGACATTCAAGGACAGTGGCATTATACGGAAAGGACTAGGCAGCCTCTGGGCAGCAAGGGCAGGTAACTTCACAAAGCAGCCTATATTCTTTAGTTTGGGTTTTCTGTAGCCTGGTGAGTGACTATAGATGGTGATAGTGTACTTTTTATTTTCTGATACACCTGAAGAAATGATTTTGAATGTTTATAGCACAAATGGGCAATGTCTACAGAGACAGATGTGAGATTATTCTGGTTCAACATCATATAATACACACACACACTGAAGCACAGCATTGGATCTCACAAATACATAAAATTTTCACATCAAATGAAAATAAAAATGTTAGTAGGTGGGTGTGTGATATTATCTGGAAAGTCACTTTTCTGTGGCAGCCAACAAAAGTCCTATTTTAATGTCACCAGGTATGATTAGTGAATACAGTCCTGAACGCTTTTTTTCTACTGAGGTATATTTATTTTATTCTCAACTTGGTTTAAATCACAATGATTATAAATTCCTAGGTTTGCATACAAAGTGATTAACTTCATTATGGCATCTTCATATGCATCCATGCGTCATTATACCTTCTTCTCTATTCTAAGTATATTTGAAGTTATGTAGTTTTGTTTAAACTTAGAAAAATTGAGCCATTAACCAGAACTGCGCCTGAAACTTAAGATCTTTAAAAATGCATTCTTATTCTAATTAAATGACCCCCAAGCAACAGGACCCCACTGTTTTTAAATTCTTGCTTATCATTGTTACCGACAATGTTTCTCTTGGGACCCAGCAATTAGCAGAGTCAGCTGTGCTTTTCTCTGAGTTAAAGGCCTGAAATACACTCCTGTTCTCTTGGAGAATTGTCCCTCTGGGCCCCTAGTGCTGATTGAAACTGCCAATTTTCCAAGTGGATAAAAGTGGGTTTAGGCATTGCTGCAAAAGTCCAGTTTTTTTCTTTTTTGATTTATTTACTTTTATTTTAAATGCATTGGTGTTTTGTCTGCAGGTATGTCTGTGTGAGAGTGTCAGATCTTGGAGTTACAAATAGTGTTGAGTTGAATGTGGGTGCTGGGATTTGAACCTGGGTTCAAATCAGTCAGTGCTCTTAACCTCTGAGCCATCGCTCTAGCCCCGGAATTCTAGTTCTTAAAACTCCCTTCCAGTTAAGCACAAAGAACCCAGGGCCTTGCAAACTCTAACCATGAGCTCCACCCCTGACTATACCTTCCTCTGTCATCTTCGATACTCTAAGGCCCCTAATCATTTTAACATGCTCCTGATATTAGTAAAAAGGATTGATAATTCAAAGCGACAGACTGGAATATTTGTTAAAATATCTTTAGTAATTTGTGCAGTACTTAGCATTACAGGAAAACAGTAATTTTAGAACACTTACTAAAGACTATCTACAATAGTTTATAATGAGACTTTACTTATCGAGAAAGTAAAAATGATCAGAATATTTTTACTCCCTTTATATTAAGGATAGACTTAATATTTAAACATTTCAACAGTGTCTATAAAATAGAGGCAGGCAATTTTAATTAAGCATGTACAATTTCTGTCTTCTGAAACTCCACGGCTTGTAGTTTAGACTGTTTTTCTTAATACATATAACATGCTTCTTTACAGAACTATATGACAATTTATATTTTTGTTTTTAGTTCTACTGTATTTATTCATTTAGGGCTGGGATTAAGTCTGTCTTACAGTTGTATTCCCTGTCCTAGAGCAGAGATTTCTTCATAGTATTAAATCAAATGTTAGACTTAAAAAACATACCAGTCTCTTGTTAGCTGTCATCAATTTCATTTTTATGGGACAATCTTTGGCCCTCTATAATTATCTCTGGGTTTAGAAATCTAGATATTATGATCATTGTCTTTTAAACTCAGACAGCAAATTAGATTGATTTTCCTTAAAACCATTACCACTACAAAACCCTTTGGCTCTCCCGCTTTCTAATACTGATGTCTCTAGTATTTCTCATTCAAGAAAGCTGTGTGTGACACTGAGGTGAAATACTTGACCTCATTCTAAATTTTATCAACTACGAGGGAGGCATTTAACTTCTGCTTTTGGTATTGAATCTTAATGTTTCAATAAGCTTTCTTGGAATATATGGCAAATATCAAGTCAAAGAAATCTATTAGTGGGATATTTGAATAGCATTAATCTAATGCTATTGTAATACAAAATTCTTAATTGTAACGTGTGACTTTTCAGTTATAATGTTATAAAACTCAGGGACAGGATGGGTTCTATCATTATTATAAATCATATTTCATGTTTTCACATTTAACATTTGAATTGCTTTGTCTATCACCACATTGACAGTATTTTCAAAGTGAGTTTTGTTAAGATGCATTCCATAATTTTAAGTACAAATAATACTAGAGGATGTGTTTTATTATATTTCAACAAAATGTAATTCCTCATTTTTGTTACTCAATAATTTCTTCAACGCTTAGATATTTAAGAGTAAGCTCTAATTGTGTGTATTTGTGTTCAAATATTTCAGAATAGTGGGACAAAAATATGAACATTTAAATTTAGCAAATTCAGAAATTCTTCATTTTGAAGAGAAAAACAGATCAATGGAAGGTTTCAAAAGAAATCTAGAAAACGATGATGCAGAAGTTACTGCACTACAGGTGAAAAGTCAAATTTTATACCACACTCATGACTGCCTCATGGATATGTAAAGAAATCATGCAAAATGGTTTCTCTTGGCTAATTTGAATACAGACCAATTCACCCAACCCACATGCCAATCTAACCTGACAGTTACATGAAACATTTTGGGGTTTTGTAACATTGTTGGTAGCTGTGTAGTCCACAATATTTAACTGTGATTGAAATTTTATTCCTAGGGACCAGAATGGTCTCATTTGTTTTTACTCCTCTTTTTCCCCCCAATTACTGTAGGGGCAAATAATTAATTCCACTATTCCATTTAATTTATGAAGTCTTTGGAATAGCTCAAGAGAAAGACAATAGGAATGTAGTTATGTAAATTAAGACACTTGACTCTTGAAGGGCATAAATGTTACCAACTTACAACAGCTTCACCATTTTTCACCCTGAAAGAGTGAAAGTACTCATCTAGGATT